ATATATACATATATCCTATATAAGACGTTCTGAGGGGAGAAGGAGACTATGTTCATGGATTTTATGGTCAGGAGATCATGAAGGGATTTCCATAACGTGTTCACAGAATGACAGAAATAAAACAAATCTTCTGTTTCAGGTTCGTTACATATAGAACAGTTATCACATTCAATTTTAAATCTATTTCTGATCAACTCGTTTGAAGGATAAATATTATTGAGTTTTAAATGTAATTCTTTATATTTAGGTGGAAGAGGGAAACGCAGATATTTTGTCATTATTTTTAATATTTGCTTCTTATTGTAAAACTCAGGAAACTTCCTTCTTACCAGACCAGTATATATTGTTTTTTTATTAAATGTCTTAAAAAGTTGTTGCATTTGTTGTGTATTAAATTGAGTCCATTGAGATTGATGCTCGTAAACTAATTGTTGGTTTAGTTTCATAATCATTAACTGAAAAAAAATGCAATTGTCATATTTTATATTACTTTGTCATAATCTCTTTTTGTATAGATTTGATTATATTTTTTAATAAATTCTTTATATTCATGTAGATTTCCCTTTTCATCCATCAGATGAGTGAGTGACCATATTTGCCTCTCCCTCCATGTCTCCTTGAACGCAAACCTCCCTCTGTGTAGAACAACTCTGTTGTTCCTAAAAGGAACATTGTGAGGACTGAAGTTATGTTTAGATGCCATTTTCCAGTTTATTAACACCCGTTGATGAAAAGCAGATCATTAAACAGGTCATTTAGGAATGTCAAAGTCACATCTGAACAGGAAGTTCTAAGTAGCAGTCAGTATGGGTTTAGAGCAAAAAACTCTACATCAATGGCTCTCATGGAATTAATAGAACAAATAACTACTGCTGTTGATCAAAAACAGTATTGTGTTAGTATTTTTATTGATTTAAAAAAAGCATTCGATACTATTGACCACACTATTCTCCTTGGAAAATTAAATAAATATGGTATAAGAGGACCAGCATTACACTGGGTATCTAGCTATTTAAAAGATAGGAAACAGTTTGTACAAATAAATGGTGCAAGATCTGACCTCTGCAATCACGTGTGGAGTTCCTCAAGGCTCTGTACTTGGACCAAAGTTATTTATTTTATATGTGAATGACTTGGTGAATGTATCAGGACTCCTCAAATGTGTCCTTTTTGCAGATGACACCACATTTTTTTGTTTGGGTAAAGATTTAAAACGGATGTTGGAACTGATGAAGACAGAATTTGATAAAATACAAACTTGGTTTAAACTTAATAAATTATCATTAAATTTAGATAAAACTAAATACATGATATTTAGTAACAAAAAGAGAACTGTTGATGATCCATTTAAAATTGAGGGTGTTGAGATTTGTAGAGTTAATGAGATGAAATTTTTGGGTGTAATCATTGATGAACAGCTAACATGGAAAAATCACATAAATTCTGTAAGAACAAAAATATCTAAATCTATTGCAGTACTATACAAAGTCAAGGAATTATTAAATGATAAAGCTCTGTACATGTTGTATAACACAATCATTGTTCCACATTTAATCTATTGCATTGATGTTTGGGGGAAAGCATGTAAAACATTTACAAAACCTATTTTTATTTTACAGAAAAGAGCTGTAAGAATTATCACCAGAAAGCATTACAGTCACCCATCAAGCACATTATTTTATCAACTGAAGTTATTGAAGTTCCATGATTTAGTAGATTACAGTATTTTATCAGTTATGTATAGGGCTCAAAATCACACATTACCATTAAATATCCAAAGAAATTTTGTTAAAAGACAAAGTTGCTATAATCTTAAGAGGATAGAGATATTTGTCGAACCAAAATTCAGAACTAGTCTGAAGGGAATGGTCTAGAGTGATGTTAAAAATGCCAAGTCAATGTGTACATTTAAGAAAAAGATCAAAGCTGGATTGTTAAAAAATATATATATGAAGTAGCTTAGTGTGTGTTTTGTATTAGAATTAGAAAAATTAGAAAGAGTTATTCATTTTGTTCTGTTACTTGAAGATTATTATGATTGAACTAATTGTTTGAAAAAAGGGGCAGATATGAGATTTTTTATTCTTTCTGCTGCCTTTCATTTTAAATCTCCTGTATTTTTTTTATATAGTTATGAAACTGTTTTGTATTTTTAAAATGAATAAACTTTATACCATTATAAGTCAACACCTCCAACTTTACTAAAAACCAACGTGGGGACAGCAAACCAAACCTCATGAACATTTTTAAGAAATGACTGATGCCATATAAGTTTCATTATTTCAAAATCTATTGCTTTAATCCTGCCATCTTCATAATTTTTAACTGTATCTTCTTTTGGATATAATGATGTTTATTTCTCCAATTCAAGTTAAAGTTTAATTTCTTAATTTCCTTTATAATTTTGGAGGATGCAGGGTAATCCACTCTTGATAGTCTCCATTTTGGTTAGTAGTGTCCTACCAGAAAGAGTTAAGTCTCTTTGTAACCAGTTGTTTAATATCACTTTGCATTTAGTAATATTATTTTCAACATTCAGTTTGACACAACTGCTGCAGTTTCCCAGGTATCGAACCTCCAGTTTGACCAGTATGCTGTATAAAGAAGATTGGGAAAAATCATGGATGCTCATTAATTCACACTTTTCCTAATTTAAATTGAAGCCTGATGTTTTGGAAAACGCTTCAACTGTTTGTAAAGTCTGGAAACTTATCTGGACAAGTGGATGCTGGATCTGCTATGGCCTGTTCAATCCTTGTCCACAGCGTTAGTCTTCACTTCCAGGCCTCCTGGGTCAGGTCCTCTGCAAACTTCAGACCTTCTTCTCTGCAGATCTGTGAGGACTTGGTTTGCTTCCACACCTCATCTCTGACACTTCTCTTGGAGAAGAGGATTATAACTTGTCTGTGTCGACCCTCCGTTGATCTTCTCACTCTGAACGATGTCAACAGCATCCTCCATCTTTCCAGACAGATCAGGCAGAATTCTGCTCAGCAACTCCACGACTTTGGCTCTGATGTTTTCATCAACTTTTTCCTTTTTACCTTTAGGGCCGTTTACACGACGCGTATTTTGAGTGAATCCGCAGTTTTCTCTCTGCGGTTCTGCTGATCATTTACACGACACCCACCAGTGGCCCCCCTCTTTGAATCCAGAGGTTTCTGAACCCACCTTCCAGAGTAGAGGTTTTTCGCTGACCCCCCGCTGATAATGTAAACATCTCCCGCTGAGGCTTTGTGTTAAACCACATGCGCGCGCACACGCACGCGCGGACCGACGCTATATTTCTATCAACATGGCGGTGGACACACTGCTTTCAGAACTACGACTGATGGAATATATTTTTAATCTCGTAGTTAATCTACGTCAGACTCCAGGCGCTGTGATCGACATCTGTGTTGGAAGAGACACAGTCTGATCCAGTTCTAATGTCGCTGTTTATAGAACGAGACACGTCACGCTGCACTATAACATACTACATGTGCTAAATAATAACAAGTTTAATAATAATAAACAGTATTTATGTTAGTGTGAGATATAATGAAGCTCTGAGCTAAATGAAGCTCTCTGGACATTATGTCATTCAAATTTTAAATGACACTAAACATATAGCGTGAACACTAAAGTTGAAAATGAAGACATCAGGTTTAATTTTTATTTATTTATTCAACACCACAAACTGTATGTCACACAAACACTGATAATTAAACTGAACACACTATTAAAAACATGTTAACTGTAAACTACATTAATTAACTGGACTCTTGTTTTCATCCTGGATGTCCCACGTTGTTCATCTGGCTCGTTCAGGAAGTCACTCCTTTGATTAATGCAACTTAAAATATTAAATGGATTGAATAAAAGAACTGAGGGGAATTTTAAATAAATAGTTAATCCAAGAGCTCTCTTCGATGTCCTCCTGCAGTTCATCTGGGCCGAGCCTCATTCAGAACCGGACCGCCTGATGGAAGACAGCTTCTTCTTCTTTCAGGAAAAAATAAAAACTCAGTTGGTTGTTTTGTAACCGAAGTAAACACAAACTAACATTATTAAGAACTTTGATTTACCTGCAGTAAATCAGCTACTGATTATCACGGAGTAAAGTCCGACATCATCGACTCGATTCTGGTCCACTCAGCGACCGGTGTGGAGCTGTTAGACGAAGTGGTCCCGCTTGGCGTCAAATCTGTCGACTCTTATCCAGAATCCAGCTTTAACTTGTTAAGTTGTTGTTAACTGAGCTTTTAGCCCAGAGGAAAGGAGCGGGCCGAGGCAGCACGCATGCGCATTAGGTGAAGGTACAAAATTCACAGCGCCATCTAATGGCCCGGCATGGTAACTACAGCGGATTCAGGAGGGCGGGGGGGAATCCTCCGGATGCATGTAAACCCAAAATCCGTCCGTGTCAACGCAAATCTTTTCCTCTAATTAACATACAAAAAACCTACGTTTCCCCCCATCGTGTCCGTGTAAATAGGGCCTTAATTCATAGGCACAATCTTCTTTTAAATCTTTCTTGACCCACCAACCATTCCTTCATTTCCTCCTTTTCCTTTTGAAGTAGTTCTACTTGTGTTTCCAAGCTTTTAACTTTGTTTTTGCACTCTTCAATGTCCTCAGAGTTTAACTGCACCGTTTTGGCTATTAATGCTAGCATGGAGCTGTGCTGTTGTAGCTGACCACTAATGCCCTCCAGACCGTCATCAACATGTGTTCCTAAAGATTCAACACGTGTTTCTAAAGCTTCTAATGTACTAAACATGATCACGACTGCCTCCCCAGAAAACTCCTCGTCACAGGTGCCTTTAACTTTCTTTTCCGCTTGTCTCTTTTCAGGAGTATTTGTTGGCGTGGTGGCTCCTCTGTCTCGTTTGCTGCATTAGCCACTTCCACTGGTGCCACGTAGCTGTGCTGAGCCTTCTGACTAACGACGGAGTAGATTTAAGAAACAGTTTTTGATGTTTGTGGGTCTTTATGTTGGCTCATCTTTATGACTGAAGTCAAGCAGCTGTAGTTCTAGTGGAGTTCACTTTAATTCTCTGTGACCATCGGGACTCATTTAAGAGCTCTGAGTGATGTGTCCACTCCACTCCCGAAAAAAGCATCATTATCATCATGTCTCCTGACCAACAGGAAGCGACGCTGAACAGAGCAGCTGATCTGGCTCTGCCGCTAAAGGTCGTAAATACAAAATCAACCAATCAGTGATAAATAATCAATAATCAATCAATATTCACCTGGACTGTCTCAACGAGGCTCGCACAGTAAAATGGAAGCGCGACGACAGCCGTTAGCCTGCGGGCGAGAGACACTGACAGTCAGAGGAGAGAGAAAGACGCAGAGAGAGAGAGAGAGAGACGCCTTGACCTGACAATAAATATATCAGGAGAAGAAGAAACCCAGATTAAACAGTAGAAGGAGAGAAATATTAAACAGTAGAAGAAGACAAATATTAAACAATAGAAGAAGATAAATATTAAACAGTAGAAGAAGAGACCAATATTAAACAGTAGAAGAAGAGAAATATTAAACAGTAGAAGAAGACAAATATTAAACAATAGAAGAAGATAAATATTAAACAGTAGAAGAAGAGACCAATATTAAACAGTAGAAGAAGAGAAATATTAAACAATAGAAGAAGACAAATATTAAACAGTAAAAGAAGAGACCAACATTAAACAGTAGAAGAGACAAATATTAAACAGTAGAAGAAGAGACCAACATTAAACAGTAGAAGAAGAGA